TGTTTCCTCGAGAAATGAAAAGCCAACCCAAAACAAAAACTCACGTAAAAGTTATCAAAAACAAAATAATCATAACTATTTTCATTCATAAGAATAAGGGTTGAAAGTTAGCCTGTTTTTTCATCTTTTGAGTCGGATTTTGGGTATTATAATTCTATTATCCACATATAAAAACCATTTATTAAACAACTATATTGTATCTTTAACTACTCGTTTCGTATATGTATTATACTCGATTATGAATATATATGTTTTTTTTTTGTCAATAAATAATAACATACATTATGCAAGTTTACATTTCCATGGTGATGCAACAACATTAGTATATAATATATCACTCATTCACTATACTATATTTCATATATCATATATTTGTTTTAAATTATCCACATATTACATTTAAATAATTTAGAGAATGAGTCGAATCAGATATATCCACATATATTCGTTCATTTAGAAATAGGAAGTCGATGAGTATTTGTAATTTTCGTTTTTGTTCTTTTGTGTCTCCCTTTATCTCTCGTCAAGTGGAGCACAACAAAGAGAATATATAAACAATTTTCCGTAAAGAAGGACCAGATTTGAGCTCAAATCATCATTACTTCCTTTAAGATCACAGTTCACAAAAAGTTATATTTTGACACCAATTTGCCACATGAGGTAATATTCCCCCTTTTTCTATATATGTCCACTCACACAGATATGTATGTATACATAGTTTGCGTTACTCACGTATGTGAACGTAAGAGTATTATCTGGTGACTAGACAGTAACTGAGTTATGTTTTTAAAAAAAAAAAATCGGTAACCGAATACATTTTAGACCTAAAATCAGGAGACTTATCAAATTGGAAGACTCTTTCTAGGTCATGCATGTTTTTTTTTCTTAAAAGAACCCTCCAAACTTAGATATCTTCTTTTTGCTCCATTAAAGTTTGAATCTTTTTTACTTATGCTGGTTTCTTTTAAATGTGGTTTCTTCTAACTGTCACAGTTTGACAAAACGATCAGTGAAAGGGACGAAATGAAATTAGCTCGACGAATAATAAGTTAATATCATAGCTAACACACTAAAAAAATCTCTTATTTTTAAAATTTTCACGTGTACATGCCAACATGATCGTCTATGAGATTTATAAGGTCATAGACAGTTTGATACAATTTCTAATTAAAATAAACAAGTTTTTTAACGATTTAGAGACGGAGGCCAATATATCACTAAATTATTAAAAAACTTGTTTATTTTATTTAAATTTAGGGACGGAGGCCAATATATCACCCAGCTATAGTCAAGGGTCGGCCCTGCGTGCCAAACAGCTTTGCTAACTTTCTGCCAATAACGAGTTAATTATAAATATATAACCTATGAATCTAAATATCATTCATATATAGTTATACAATAACCTGCAAAAGAAATATGAACCCAAAATGCCACTTACAATTTGAAGAGCGATAATCTATACCTTGTATACTTTTCATAAATATCATCAACGTATACAATAGTTATATAACTATTGACTCTAAATTTATACCATAAACAACATATTTAACACACAAAAACTTGATTCAAAATGCTGCATTTCTAAAAGCGATCATTTTTTATTCTTAGATTCTCATAAACATTATCAAATGGTGATTTAGAATCTAAAAAGATTAAGGAGCAAACATAGGGAACTTCTTGATTATATAAGAAAAACATACAAATTTAAAATCTTATAAGCAATTTTCACGTTCGTCAAAAACCTTTGATCATTGAATTGAATACTTGCAATATTTTTTTGTAGTCTTTCTCAATCGAATCTTAAGATTGACGTGTAGAATTTCTTGTATTTCGACTAATTATTGAACGAATAATCACACTTCTACTATCTTATGAAATGTATTGATCAAGCTATTTCTATTAAAAACAATCAATACATAGTTTTTATGATTTACCAGATTACTTGTAGTATTTGATGTGGAACAAAAAAAAGCTCTATTAGCCAGTACGTTTAGACAGAAGTTTTTTTTAAAATGTAATGTAATGCGGTTGGTCAAAAAGATAAAACTTTGGAATCATGCTTTGGTTAGTAGTTAGTTAATTATATATATATATATATATATATATCATTTTTCCAATTCATAAAAGGGTCCTTTTATTACTATTTCCACCCACAAAAAGGTCCTTTTATTACTATTTCCCCCATTATCTATTTTGTAACCAAAAAAATAAGAACTATTTTTTACACGAAGAAGAATCTATTTTAGATTCCCTTACATTTAAAAGTGGAATTTTTGTTTTCCTAATTAAGCTGTCAATATCAGCTCTCTATTCAGTAACGATATTCTTGGTTATGACACGATCGAAGTCACGAATACCATAATGTTATTGTCTATATGTTGCTTTGGTTGAGAAATTGTAAAGGGGCAATTTCCTCTTATAATAACGGCATCTCAAATATTCGTGTAAGCTAAAAACTATTAGAAAACCTTTGCTTTCTTTTGTAGCCTCGATTTTCCACAACATGATTTGAAGAAATACACAATCTTATTATAATGGATTCGTTGAAAAAGTGCCCTTTAGAAGCAACAAAGGAATAACGAAGACAGCAAAAAATGAGTAAATGAGAATAATTTCTCTCCTCAAGAAATTAAAATAAGAATGTAAGTTTACATTTTAATTATACCGGTTAATGGATTCGCTAGTATATGTAGGTTACTTTTCTGAAGAAAAAAATTGGTTTTACTAACCGGTTAAAATATTTCCATTGGTGGACTAGTTCCAAAAATTACAATTTTCATATGAATAATGTGGTAACTTAACGTGTCCATCAAATAAAAGTTAACTTTTATCTCAAGTAATCGAACCAAACCACTTATTTTCTTTACAAAGATCCAACTTGATTTATTTAAACAAATAGGATATTTTAATAAAGAAGAGGCATAAAATAATAATGATTTTTTATTAACTATTAAGCTAATGACATGAAATAATATATAGGGGGAACATGCCTCCCAATACTTGAATCTTTTTGAAACTTGAAGTTTCTTTGTGTGTTAAGTCATGATTAGTAATACATTATTTATTTGTATTATTGTTGTTGTTCTTATAGTTTCTTATCACGGGATAATAATGGCCATTGGATTTGATATCACTTCGCAATTCCTTTGTTGTTAAAGATACGTACCACAGTTAAAAAAAGAAACAGACAATATATAAAACTATGAATAAATGGATGAATCTTCCTTGAAAGTGCTATTTTTTTAGTACTTTTGATTTTTCCTCCACAATGAAAAAGAAACAATTTTAAATACAAGGAAACACACATGTGAGCCTCTCCGTTTTTTCTTTTGTTTTCTTTCTCTTTTGCGATTTGAGAGTTTTATTCAGTCAAATTACCAATTATGCTAAAAGGCATTTTCCTGAAGTGTTCTTAATGATAACCTGATAAGAGCTGCATCACTAGAATAATATTTTTTGAATTCGATCGAGGAAATTCCAGGGGGTCGGCTTGTGATCTTGAAAATGCAACATTTGGAAGTTTATTTTCGTTATAGATACGAAAAAAGTATAACATTTATTTATAATCAGTGGTAAATTAGTAAAATGGTCACCAAATTTTTTATTAACATTCATTTAAATTCTACGATAAACTAATTTAATAAAGTGTTCGTATAATAGACCAGCAGACTAAGTTGAAGAAAGAAACAAAAACAAGAAATATCAAAATTTCGGCACAAATTTCTTATAAAAAATTTCAGCCCATTATTTGTGGTAGTTTTTTCTTATAATCGGAATCATAATAAGCCAATATCTAAACTAATATTTTATGTCCAACCATTCAAGAACTCTTACCATTTGAAATATGTTTATGATGATGTCCAAACTAAAAAAAAAAAAAAAAAATCACATTTAAAGATATTTGCTTCCTAGCCTCTACAAAAAAAAAAGAAAAAAAAAAAATCTCCAACACCATACCATTAACCCACTTCCACTTCAATTCATTTGTGGTGTATTTTATAAGTCATTTTTATCATTTAAGGTGTTTACCATGTGGATTTTTTTTCATTTGTAGATAGTCATTTTTATTGTTTTTTGTTTTGTAGATGTGAAAAGGGAAAATTGTATAGAACAAAATATATAGTTTGTTTTTTATACGAAGGAAATATAATGTAGCCACATCTATATATAGTTTAGAAAAATGATGAAGGTTAACTATGACGAAGGATATGTTTATGATTAACCAAATACTTCCACGTGCTTATTGTAAAAATCATCGTAAGGCATCATTAGAGACAAAAGTCAACGCCCCATACATTGTGGTATTTAATTTGTATTTTCATCTGGCGGCTATATATGTATGATTATTGATTGTGAAAAGAACATTTAATGTTTTGTGGTTCGATTATGCTGATTAACTGTTATCATTTTAAGTTTTCTCTTTTTGTGGTTCATTTTTTGTATCAGCAATGATATATTAAAAAAAAAAAATATGAACTATTCTTTTAAAAAAGGAAGAATATTTTGTATTACTTGTATGATTAAACTCCATCAGTGTTAACCTGTTAGTGAAGAGAAGAAGACTTTCCAAATAAATTACTACTCCTTCGGTAACTAATATGGTTTTGCTGACAAGAAAAAGCAAGTATGGTTTTCTAATCACCTCTCGATGAATCAAACTGTTTTCAAAATCTAAGAAACGTTGATGACAAAAAGATTCAGCTAGGGTTTGATGCTTCTAAGAGGTATTGAGTGGGTCATTTGACTTAAGCATATATAAATGCACTAATTCCCTACGCTTTTAGTACACTAACATGACCGAAGAGGATCTTGATCCTCTATGGTTGGGATTATTAGATAATAATATATTTTCACGATAATGGGCATAAAGAAATCAAAGTTTCAGTCCACTGATCAAAATTCCTATAAAATTGACATTATATTAAAGAATCTTCTTCTCGGTCAAGGGAATTTGTGAATGCGTTTTATTATTATAGAATTTGTGAATATGTACGTTGAAATTAAATTCTTAAATTTCAAACATTCACACACAAAAAAAGGACAATTGACAAGTCATTTTCAATAGAAACAAAAAGTTAAACAACCAAAAACAAATACAATATGTAACTTATTTAAATTTACATTCTTCTAAAAATTATTGGACCGTTGATCTTATTATTAAAAGTGTTTTTCACCAGAAAGAAGAAGAAGACGACGAAGTTGTGTATTGCAAATTAGACTGTTGAACCACAAAGTTGCTCACAAAAGCTTCCTCTTCTTCATGCATCCCATCTAATTTCTGCACATCATTCCCATCATTTAATATACAAAAACATCAGCATATTTTACTACTACAATGTAATTATCTTTTTCATGGATTTTACTGGTATGTCAACTTAATAAATGAATAGCAGAATAGCTGAATAATAAACTAGTAAAATCAATAGGATGAGTAAACTGAAAACTGAATAAACTCAAAACGTTAAAAAGTTAGTATCTATTAAATGAATAGATTTTTATCAAAATTAATTATAAATTTAAAACGTGCAGGATGAATTGAAAAATAGCGTATTAATTTTTATTTTTTATCATTCAATACTTAATATTGTGAATGGTATGCATTTAATAGAACTTGAAAACGTGAAAAAACTATATACCATTCAACTCCAATGTATTTCAAGCAATTCATGACATTGGATTCCAGAAAACATGCAAAATCCGTATCGGAAAATTCATGCCCAAAAAAAGAAGAAAAAAAAAATTATCTCTACAATTTCAGAGTAAAGTAGAGTTTTGAAAATTCTCTATAACTCTATTAATTAACTCTGTTTTTTTTTGTAAGACCGGTGTAAGATTTATTCGGGTTATGTGACACGACGACATTTGTAGTAAAATAAATCATTTCTTTTATAAAATCTGTTATATTTGATTGATAATGTTCAAATAGGAAGAAGAAAATAAAAACTAGTTTTTGAATTTGATTACCCAAAGCTCGGCGTCGTCGTCTTCAACGTTGGGGATTTCTACAATTTCGTCGTTGCGTGCGAATCTGCCACGTATGCGAGGTCTACTATCCGCCAGTGTTTTCCGGCATGCATACTTTTTTTTTTCCATCCAAACAAAAAAAAAAGTTTATAATGAAAAGAAGGAACAAAAGAAGAAAAAGCCTTTAAAATTTGAGAAATGTAATAAAGATGTTACCTTTATAGTTTTGGTAAAGTTTCTCTGATTTCGTTTAGCCCTGTACTTTGAGATTTTCTCTTTACGTTCTTCTGCACTGTAACGTCTCACCTTAAAGTTCTGTTCATCGGAAAACGGCATCGACGAGTTCTCCGACGATCTCTGCTCTGTGAAATTGCTTCTTAGAGTCTGAAAAAGAAAATCAAAATCAAAACTTTTAGTAAGATTGCAAAAATGATAAACAGAGCAAAAAAAAAAAAAACAGAGACCTGCAAATCTCCTGTGCTGTAGACTCGCCGCATCATCTGACCGGAAAAGAAGTCACTTTCAGGCGAGTTCAATGTATTGTAATGGAGATTTGAAGAATCCATTATCGGAATGTTGTCGAACGGAATCTGATTTGGTTTTCCGTCGACCGAATTGCTGCTAAAGCTTCTCTGCATATATCTCCCTGCATTCTCTATTGCACTGTAACTTCTCGCCATTGATGCAACCGTTTCCGTTTGATTATGACCGGAGCCGCCGTAAAAGTGCTCTGTTTTGATGGCGTCGGAGAAATCTGGATATATTCCGGTGGGAATTTGATTAGAGAGAGTTAAGGTTCCGAGAAGGTCGCTTGGAGGAGATGAAGAGAGGAGGTGAGGGGTAAAATGGTCAAAAATGCTGAGAGACTCATCGACAGAGTAGAGTTCATTGTTGCAGAACAAATCTGTAGTTGTTGTGTCTGAAGAAAACATTTCTGGACTAGAATTTCGGAAAACTGAGGAAGAAGATGAGGAAGAACCATCAAAGATATACAGATCTGAAGAAGCCATTTTGAAATTGATGAACCAAACAAAGAAACTGAAAAACTCAGTTTTATGTTCAGTTTTTTTTTTGTTTTTTATTGTGGGTTTTGTGTTGTTTTTACCAAAAATGGCAAAGAAGGAAAACTTTTTTACTGTGAAAAGTTGAAAATTTTCCCAAATTTGTTTTTTTGTTTTCTGGGTTTCTCTGTTTCAGAACCAAGACATGACAGGTGAAGTTTCTTTTGTCTGGTGACTGATGTGGTGTTATTTATAACGGCGGAAAGAAAAAGAATTTATAAAATGTGTCCTAGCCTTTAATATATTTTATGGACTGTTTAGAAAAAAATTGTATTCTTACATTTTTAACCCGAATGCTTATATTCAAATAATTTAATTTAAATCTATTTTTGTTTTGTTTTTTGAACATTGATTTAAAATCTACTTGGTCTCTCTCTATCTTTTTGATGCATGATGTGAGCAAAAGCTCCTTTTGTTGTTATATTACTATTCAAATCTTACGTTATAGAATCTAATTCCCGTCATTGGCATAGCTGTTGAAAATGTATTTTTAGATTATATAAATATCTTAAGGTGTAGTTGAGAATATTCGAGCGACTTTACTATACCAATATTGTGTTTATTAATGTTCAAAAAAAAGTATTGTGTTTCGTTGCAGTTAATATTTTTAAAATATAACCTTTACATCAGTTTACAAATAACTTATCAGATCATTCCTATTTCCTAAAACCAATGTATATGAAAGTCAGTAAGACGAAAATAAGATTTTGAACTTATTATAAGTTCTACCTTTTAACCGTCATACTGTAATAAACACTGTAAAAAACTTTTTAATTTTTAGGTAGTATATAAGAGTGTTTATTACAGTGTCACGGTTAAAAGGTAGAATTAAAATGTAATACTTGGTAAAATTTAATACAGTTGAGCTGGGAAAACGGCCAATTAATATCCACACTACTTATAGTATAGGGATTTAATATTTTTATTATTTTGGTGTGTGTTTTAGTATCCGTACTTAATAAATTTTGAAATACATACTTGTATTCAGTTGATATATACCCTGGCCATCTCTCATTAGTCAATGTTAGAACGTCTGTGAATAATGATGACTCGGACCACAGATGCACGGAGCTAGCAGCTTTAAGTTGAGCTAATGCTATTCGAAATAAAATGAATGATGGTAAAACCTTTTTTATACATAAATCAAGTTATTTAAATAATTAAACTAAAGTTGTAAACCGTGGTGCATTTTTAATATATAAATCATCTTTAATAAGTACTTTCCATCACAAGCCACTTCTTGAATCAGTACTCCAAATGTTAATCAATACTCTGAAAATGATTTTTGTAGAGATCGTATAATGTTACTTAAATGTAGTAGTATGTACTATTGCCATCTCCTCCCAGATTCAACCCGGTATGAAACATGTTACTAGTAAGTTACTGACAAAAGTTTTTTAAAATGTGTTAATAATTTGGTTTATCTGGTAAAAGCACCTCATAAATTTCGTCTTGTTTTGAGTAAAACAAAAAATTTATGCTTTTTAATAATTTGGACTACCCATGCGCATTTTTTTACAGCATGCATAACCACCATGCACATTTTTAAAAGGGTTAAATTGTCAAATGAATATTTATTATTCTGAAATTTCGGCATTTCCAATGGGTCAAAGAGTTTTGATTCAACCAATAAAAAACTCACGAAGAGCGAAATTCAAGTCCAAGCAATAAATTTTAACAACAGTTATTTCAAAAAAAATCAAAAAGAGAAAAGAAAGGAAAAGGAAAAAAAGTCTGTAGATTTTCTGCGTTTGCTTCCAAAAGGACAGAAAAAACATTGAATGTTTAGCGCGTGAAACGCTAACTTAAATTTTGTTATCATTTTCGGATTTGCATTTTCTGGAGAGTTTATATATATTGGTGTTTTTTGTTCTTGGTAATTATCAAAAACCATGGGGAGGTCTCAGGATAAGCTTGATAAGATGCAGCTCCGGCAGAGTTACCGGAATGTATGGCAGTCTGATCTCATGGGCACTGTCACCGCCGATACTCCTTGTAATTATCTCTTTGTGTCTCGTTCTATCCAAACGTTTATGTTTATTTCTTTGGAGAAATTGATCGTCGTTTTTTTTCTTTCTTAATTTGGTTTCTGCAGATTGTTTCTTCTCGTGTTTGTGGTGAGTGGTTCCTGTTCTTGAATTTCTTTTTCGCTTATTTATTTCCTGGATATTTCAGAAAAGTAATCACTTTCCTTTTGCATTATGTAGCTTTGTTGATTCCACAAGAAATAGTCTTAACAAATGTAATCTAAATTTTATGTACATCACTGATCTAAAGTATGTGTTATTACTTATTAGTATCAATGTATTATAATATTAGAAATCCGGTGTTATTCAATCTAATTTCTCTTCACATTTTAAAGATATATGATTTCATATCAAAACTTTGTTATTTTGGATTTTAAAACTAGTGAAATATACCAGGAATTCAAGTTCATACATAGGTTTTGAAATCAATTAAACTACACAAACAAATGAATCTCTCTTGTTAAAAAAAAAAAAAAAAATTCTCCTTGTTAATTTAATAGCTTCTTGTCGTCATTCAATATACAAATGTATTTGTCATTGAATGAATGTATGTGTTTTTGGTTCACATCTAAATCTGCCATTTCTTCTGATTGTAGTGGACCTTGTGTTTCATACTTACTTCGAAAGAGAGCACTTTACAATGACATGTCAAGGTATTGAATTCTATTTTCTGTAGAAAGAAAACCAGAATGTGCAATGATTTTTTTCTCTCTTAAATGCTATTGTGTTGTTTTGTTGTGTGAAGGTACACTTGTTGCGGTGGATATATGCCTTGTAGTGGTAGGTGTGGAGAAAGCAAATGCCCTCAACTTTGTCTTGCCACTGAGGTAAAGCCTTTAATGTTATTTCAATTTTCATATTGGTGACCATAATGAGCTGAGTTGTAGAATTAGAAGTTAGCATTTACTTTGATATTTTGATGATCTTACTTTGATATTTTTGATGATCTTTCAAGAACTAATTCATTACTTGCCTGTGATAAATTTTATCTTTGAAACATCTAGTTGAATTCTTTTCATGTGTATGATTACAAAAATTAGCTACTGTCGCGAAATGTGGACTTGGCAGCAGGAACATGAAATAGCACTTTACTTTGATGTTTTCATGTTTCACCAAAAAAAAAGAAATATTGACTTTCCTTCTTTAGTTTTGTTGCGTTGTATTCTAATGCCTCGTAATAGAATCTTTCTTTGAAATTTGTAAGATTTTACTATTTATGGGAACATGAACACTGAGCTTGTCTTTGTGTGGTTTCCATATAACATTGATTAGGTACAACACAATGCAAAATAACTCTTTTATGATATTGACATTGTTGAGGAATGTTTTCAGGTTTTCTTCTGTTTTGGAAACTCTGTAGCATCTACTCGGTTTATGCTACAAGATGAATTCAACATCCAAACAACACAATGCGACAATTGCATAATTGTATACTCTCTAAACTTTCCCTTTTTTTGTCTTCACTAATAAACATTTTTGTGTACTAACATGCATTTTCCCATGTTCCTTGCCATTTTGTAGGGATTTATGTTCTGTCTCAACCAAATCGCTTGCATCTTCTCTCTTGTCGCTTGCATTGTTGGAAGTGATGAACTCTCCGAAGCTTCTCAGTTGCTCTCTTGCTTGGCTGATATGGTCTATTGCACGTATGTATAATCCCTTCCTATAATCTTCCATGCCACTGTCTCCCTTTCGCTATCAAATTTAGCCATTAGAGTCATAACAAATGTTGTCAATCATTTTAGTTATACATCCTTATTATTGCTGATTATGTACTCCTGGTCTTGATTTTTTTTCTCAGGGTCTGCGCATGTATGCAGGTACGCAAATCGAGTTTCTCTAACATTTTTTTTCCGTGGCGTGTAAGTTAACCAAAACCAATCTCTTTCTCTTTGTTTGCAGACACAACACAAGATCGAGATGGACAAAAGAGATGGTGTGATTGGTTCTCAACCAATGTCAGTGCCACCAGCTCAGCAAATGTCTCGCATTGATCAACCGGTCCCTCCCTATGCCGGTTACCCTCCACCTGGCTATCCCCAGCCTTACTATCCACAGCCTGGTCATGGTTACCCTCCTGCTCCGGGTTATCCACCTCCCGGTCAGAGTTACCCTCCTCCCGGTCAGGGTTACCCTCCTCCCGGTCAGGGTTACCCTCCTCCCGGTCAGGGTTATCCTCCTGCACCGGGCTATCCTTCAACCGGTTATCCCTCAAAGTAAAAAACATTAATCGATATCTCAATCTTTGAAGTCAAAGTTGTAATATCAGATCTCAAACCGGTCTTCAGAACTTTTATATCGTTGAACTATTGTCCTTTGGTATGTTGTGATTACTTTGCAAGTACTTTCTGTTTGGTTCAGGCCCGGAAACCTTCTATATACCGACCGGTTTGCTGTCTCATCGGTTTTTGGTTTTCTTCTTAATTATCTAATGGACAACTAAACTCTAGAAAACCATATAGTTTAGTTTACATCTTTTGTTTTAATCGGGAATAGTTTATTTTTTGTATTAAGTTGTGTTTACTTCATTTTTTTCTTTACTTCTATTTTTTTTTCTACTTTTAAAGAAAAAAATAGAGATATTATTTTTGTTATCCAATTCACCTTTATTTTAGAAAAGAAAATAAAAATGTTATATTTTCCTCCAAATATAGAGGAAAAAGTAAATATTTTTATATTTTCCTAATTTTTCTATTTTAGAAAAAAATATAGCAAAATACATTGGAAATGGTCTAACTACGTTGAAAATCCTTCGGTAGAGCGGTCAGATGACGAGCCCTTGATTAAGTAAATATTTAAATAATGACAATTCATGACACTAAAAATATAGTTAATGCTAATAATTCGAGCATCTTTTTTCTTGCCTTTAGCCTTTCTAGTCAAAGAGGGTCAAACCCACCACCACCATAATGCTTAGTAGTATTAGAATTTCTATAGATATCATTCAGTATGTACCAAACAATCCTTATTATGGTCATCAAGATCATATTTCCTTTGAGTATATAATAAGTTTATGTTTTATATACGATGAAACTGACTTGCTTCAAGTTTCGAAAATTAATATGGATTCTATATTCTTTCGTATATCTTTAAGGGCTCCATAGTGTTATTAACTTAATAAATCAATCTTTATAGTCTAGACTTGTAGATTTGTAGTACTCGAAGTACATCTATCTCGACAATATCATCATTTTTATCAATAGGGAACCATAGGAGCAATTATCATTTTTGGAAAAGTTTATATGAAACCGAAAGCTTAAAATGATTAGAAGCGTGTGGGGCTTTTCGTAATGGGTTTGAAAAATAAGCATAAGCGCAGACAATCCTACGGGTGCCACGTGGTAACAGCTGAGCATACTAACCTCAGGACCTCTCTTTGTGGACTCTCCAATGTACTCTTCCATTGAGTTTATCTTCCAACAATTTTAATTCGTTGAGATGGTTTTAATACTTGTTTTATGTTTTACTATCTCTGTTTTAACAATACTTTATAAACTTTTTATCTTTAAAAAAAATGCACTGTATTATACAGAAACATAAAAAGTGAACATATCTTAGAAAGCATAACTATTCAAAATATAAAATTTAATAGATATTTTTTTTAATAACTTCATATTCTTAGAACAGTTCCTTTAATTAAACTGGTGGAATCGAGTTCACATAATTTAATAAATACTTTAGTTTGTTGGGTCGACGAGCTATTTCCTCTTCGTAACTATCATATAGTACTTTGTCTACACAGCCCTCGTTCCAATTGCACCTAATTATAAAGTTGCAAACCCAATTCCACACAGACTTTAAATTGTAAACCAATTTCCCCACGATTCGGTTACTTTTTTCGAACCAATCATTAACCAGTGTTAGCTGATACCAAACCGATTATAAACCTGGTTAAGGAGTTAGCCAAAACCCGAAATGAATGTGACCCGACTTTAACCCGACCTGTTTCATCATCGTTAAAACCCGATCCCTTACTTATCACTGTTAAAACCCGACGAAGAGAAGAACCCTAAAAAAAAAATCGAATTGGGGGAATCATATTGGGTGAGACTTTTCGAGAATTGAATCTGGAAAAATTGCTACTGATTGAGTGTAAGTGTATTGTTTCCCTTAATTGATCTCCACACCATTTTTGGATTTTGCTTTGTTGAGTTTCATTGAGAATATCGATTTGAAGCTTAGAAAGTTATGTTTTGATTTTGTGTTTATAGATTGCTGTAAGAATGAGCAATGTATCTGAAGCTTCGAGTGGATCATCCAGTGTGCGGCAGCCTGGAAGATTTATTGGTGTGCCAAAGAGATGTTGGTGTGGAGATCAAATCATAGCAAAGATTTCAAAATCAGACAACAATCCATACCGTTGTGCGTATGCAATAGCTAAGAAGGTAAATTCAAATTCAAAACTTAAGCTTCTATACATGTGAAGTCGATAAATTCAAAAAAAAAAGAAGTCTCATTGCTATTTCCTAGCTCGCGAATGACAACCACGTTTTCAAGTGGGTCGATGAAGCTTTTTTGGATGAAATAGAGACACTGCAAAACAAATATTCAAGTCTTGAAGAACTGGTGAAAGAGATGAAGATAGAATGTGTGGAGGTTGAGAATAAGGTGTTTGAGAAGTTAGAAATGAAGCTAGAGAAAGAGATTTTTGAGAGAGTTGAGGAAATGAAGGTGGAATTGAGAAAGAGTATGAAGAAAATGAGTGTTGTTATTGTAATTGGATGTATGTTGATGTTTGATTTTGTGAAAATAGTATGTTGAGTCTATCTTTGTGTTTTGTTATGATGTTGTCGATTGTTTTTTGTTGAAGCACTCTATCTTTATGTTGGTTTTTATCAAAACATGTTCTCTCTTGAATTTGTTATATTATAATCGAATTTGTGTATCATGCTTATTGTGTCTTTTTGTTTGTGCAAGCTAATAAGAGATTCAAGAGATTAATCTGAAAGATTTCACAGATGAGAATGACAAAGATGTTTACATATCACACCAATCCTCGAAAACAAAACATGGATTTCACATCTAGATACCAATACCATACCAATACCCGAAAGTCAGAGAAAAGAAGCAAAATATTCAAGTGCATACATAGATACCAATACCCGAAAATCAAACAGAAATGAGAGAAAGACTTTGCTCAAAAAACAGCTTATGCACTTTTTCTTCACTCTGACTCAAATTCTACTCTTTGTCCTCTTATAGTCAACGCCTACTCTCTGTGAAACCAAGACAGATAACTACAATTTAGGCATCAAATAACAATCATAACCAATCAAATAAACCACCAAGACACGAAATGAAAACTTATTCAAGACAAGAAGATTCACCTTTCTACATCTGAGTGAGAGTGCCTTGTGAAGATTCACCTTAAGTGAGTAAGTCTTCTGAAGATGCACCTTGAGGAGCCTGTCATATACAGAAAAATCCAGATGAAAATTCACACAAATTCCAAGAATCAATAACAACAAAGTTCAATGCTAAAATACCTTTTTCTTGTGAAACCTAGAGTTGTGATTAGCTGCACCACAAATCCCACAATGCATTATACGTTTCAACACCTTTGATTTTTTTTTCACGGGAGACTCATTTTTCCTTTTCTTCATTTTATTCTTCTTACTTTTCTTTTTGCGACCAGGCTGCGGTGGCTCAGGAGCTTCATGCACCGAAGGCTCTGATCCATGTGGCCAAAACCTTGCTCCTCTACTTGGAGTTAACCCCTCTTCATATGTCCTCATTCACATGGTTGTATGAAACCAATGACACACAAAGTCTTCAGCCTCAAGTTTCTTATGCAGTATCACACCATAGCCATGCTCACAAGGGATTCCTGTGATATCCCATTTCATGCAGGTACAAGATCTTTTCTCCAAGCTCACACAGTAGGAACATCTGTCAAGGTTAACCAACCACTGACTATTTGTGCTTCGGTAAACCGTGCATTCTGAAGCTTTTTGATGCTCCTCTGCGAGAAAATCAATCACATAAGGTGTACATATACTTTTGTGTGCATGAGCTTTGGCTTTTCGTTTTGCAATGCGCACCATTGCAAGTCGCGCAATAGTCTCTAGCATTGACACTAATGGCTTCTCCCTTGCACAAACAATAGAGCTGTTGAAAGATTCTGTAGATTTGTTCTCAACATCCTCACAGTAGTTGCCTAATTTGTAGAAAGCTCTACACCAACTTGGAGGGTTTGTCTTCACAATATCGGCATGAACTTGAGAGTCATAGTTTAACAACCTATCAAGATTTTCCCTATACTCTGCAATATCATAGCTCCATGCTAGATTCCAAATTAATGGCTTCAGCATATCCTTCGTCCCATGCCTCCCCTTCACATTCGCATAGATGTGTCTAACACACATACTATGCTCAATCTTTGGTAACTCTATCTGAACAGCATTGATTAATCCCTGAAACAAAAAGATGCAAATCACAAGACATAGACATTAAACCCCAAATCACAAGATATAGATATAAACATAACCATTCGTCACCATAAAAAAGCACAAGACCTAACTTTTTGACGATCCGAGATCAATACATATCCATCACCATCTTTTAAACTCAAATCATCCTTGATGTTTTGAATAAACCACAACCAATTAGTTTTTTTTTCACTTGCACAACACCCCATTCCATAGGATAAATAGCATTGTCAGGATCACGACCTAGAGCAACCAGCAACTGTCCTTTTGTTTTGCCTCTTAGAAAACAGCCATCAACTCCTATTAGTTTTCTACATGTTGCTTTCCATGATCTTCTAAGAACATCAAAGCATACATAGAACCGGTTGAACACATCTTCACCTTCATCATTTCTCACAGTCTCAACTAGCACAGTAGAATTCGGATTTGATTCCATTATCTCAGCACTATAGTTTCAGAGACTAGCAAACTGCTCAGCATATTCCTTATCAATCCACCTCAATGCTTTATTTCGAGCAGCTTGACATTGAGGTCTTGAAACCGTGATCTTCCACCTTTCCATAAACAGCTCTTCTATCTTCATAGGCATATAATACTATGGTTCTTCTCTTATCTTGTTTAAAAATATTCTAGCTATAACTGGGACCTTAATCATCTCACAATGTCCATTAGGAACACAACTGTGTTTATCCTTGAAAACCTTAACCTGCCATCTCTCAGGTTCTCCACTACTCGAGCAATATATATGCCACTCACACTGTGAATCAATGTTTCTGCCTACACATTCATATGAAAGCTTCGTTTTGTCATACCTAGTTTGCTTCAGATTATAGCCCGTCTTCAGAGCATAATCGAGTACACATTCTTTGAACGCCACACTGTTAAAGAACATTTGCCCGAAGAATAGATTACCATTCCCTCTTCTCACTCGGTCACGCTCCCGAGTTCTTTGTTTCTTCGGCTTTAAACATTCATCTTCTTTATCAGCATCACTCTCGCTGTCACTCTCACTCTCACTCTCACTCTCCGGATACACGTTGTGACGGATAGAATACTCATCAGTGAATGCATCTATAGCATTCTCTATGTGGAAAGCATTTCGCTTCATTGCCTCTTCATCTTCGGAATCAGATTCGTCGGGAAGTGCATGAACATCATGCCAATCCTGCCAATCCGTGAGATCCATTGATTTCGATCACACAATGAAGTAATCAAACACAAATCTTTCACAATGTCCTTCGTGAATAATTTCGCACACACAAAGAATCAGAAATCTCAAAATTGTTTCTAGGGCTCGTGACTGGAAGAGCAAATCACATAATTGGGATTTCTGGTTTGATTTTGTTTTTGAAATCGGGTAATTGAGTTTATCAACTTTGTAATTAGATCATTATCGGATTAATTTTAGGTTTGTTTGGTTGAAATATGATTTTGGAAAGTTTGGTAAACAGTAAACCGACATTAGCCTAAGTAAATGTGTAATTCTGTTTTCAAAATTTATTCTATGTGGAAATTGGTTTGCAACTAAAAATCTATGTTGAACTGAGTTTGCAACTTTATAATTAGGTGTAATTGGAACGAGAGCTAAAGTCTGTATAGACAAGGTGCTATATGATAGTTACGAGGGGGAAGTAGCTCGTCGACCCATGTTTGTTATACATAATATGTCAGAAAAATGTCTAAACAATAATTTCTTTAAAGACTCCAACACAATTGATTTTCCTAAGACAATATCTGACTTGATAATAGAATGGACGAGTTATGGACCGTGTTGAGATTCAATCCACAGTTTTATTTGTTTTTCTTATGTGAACTGAAAACAATGAAATAAAAGAGAGATCAGAGAGAGTGGAAGTATTTTTAACTTGGGTTTATTCTCATATCCCCACCTAAATGAGTTTTTATACCTTTACCTGATCTTAAATCAATAGACTGAATCCAATTCTGATCATAGTTTAAACGTTTGACTATGTCAGTATCATAAGTGAAATGCGATGGAAGTTGTTTTATATACTCCTATAATTGGAGATTTCCTAATCGGACATACTGCACGTTGCTTCAAATTGGCAAAGCGTGCCCGCCAAACATGCTGTGGTGACATGTGTTTCCCGTCCATACCCATTTCTTTAAATAATTTTGAGTTTTAAAATTTGTAACTTTAAAAAATTTCAGCCTAATTATTTAGGATTTCTTACAACGTTAGCAATAATAAAGATTATTAGTCAGATCTTTAGATTCAGATTTTTTTAGGGCAATAAATACTGCAAGAAAGGTTCCAAGAAAGGCCAGAGAGCACGGAGTAAAAAGTATCACTATCTTGTCATATATTATAATTATTTCCCTTCAAAGTTGGAGAAAACAGTTCTAGAAATAGTAAAAATTTAAGATTTTCGTTTCTTTTCTTTTTTTTACTCAACGGATAATACAAATTACAATTTTCCTTCTTCTAATTTACTAAACACCCTATATTTTTATATTTACATATATCAACCACTCAACCCAACTAATTAAAAACTAAACAAAACAAAAACACAAAAAAAAAGAAATCGATTCTCTTTCCCATTTGCAGTAGCTAATTCCAAATCCTAAGTTGATTTGATTCTCCGGTAAGTCCAGAGACACTATTAGACTCCGACCAAATCCGTTGGTTAAAAGCAACTTGTTGATCATCAGGAATAAACGGCGTTCTACAAAGTGGACACGTCATCTGATTATAACCCATCATCCAACGGTCCAAACAGCTCCGGTGGAAGATGTGTTGACAGTTCGTCAGTCGTCTGATCTCATCTTCGTTTTCAAACTCGTGGAGACACACGGCGCAGCAATCGAATCCAGATCCGGGTCGGTTCAGTTCTGAAAATCTTACAACTGGTAGGATTTCTCCGGCCAGCCTCGCCGCCACTGGGTAGAAAAATGAACTCTCTTGGCGATGCCCCGCCGTGTAAATTGACGGTGATTCCGGCCATGATGACGATGATATCGGGTCGGTTTCGAGAAACTCGGGTAGACCCATTAACCCAAAAACGGTGTATATAAGTTTTCGGATTAAGCCTAAGAGGGAAAGCAAGCATAGGAAGATTCTTGGGAGGAGGAGCTCGGTGTAGCCCACCGGAAAACCCATGGCTTAGCCGTTAGAGAGAGAGAGAGAGAAAGAGCTTAGAAATGGAGAGGAGATAGAAAGGTAGAGAAGAGTGGGCTATATATATACACGTGGGTGATATATGTATATGTTATTACATAATTAATAAATAACTACTAATATGTTTTTTCTGTGTTTTTGTTTTCATTTTTTGGATTATGCAAACAAGTTTTTTTTTAATATGATGTTTGTTTCTTTCATCTATATAACTCACACATGCATATTATTGAATTTGAATAACAATTATGACACGGTTGCAACATTAGTGAATAATTAGGTTTAAAGTTTTTTTTATCGTTCTTTATATCAACAAAATAGAAATTTATTGCCGAGCTCAGAAACCATAAATCAGAGGTTACTATTTATATTTTGATTATTATATTTGGGCACACCATTTAAAGATTATTCTACAGATATTCAGTCGAACAAAAATATAATATTTAAGAAAATAGCAAAATCATTTTAAATCTATGCAGTGAAAAACGAATTTCATATATTTTGGATAATTTTAGTCATATTTTAGATGAATGATTAGTTTTTGTAATAAGTTGATTTTTTTTACATAAATAATTAATCTATTCTATTGAGGTTTGAGACAAGTTTATCCATGTTATCAAATTCTTGCATGTAAATTTTAGTTACTATGTGGTTTCTTTCGGAAATCTAGTTAATCAAATTATTTTAATTTCTATTATTTATCATACGAGTACATACGATTTATTAGAGTTTTATATGATTATTTGTCCCGTTATATCATGTTAAATTTCATTCATTTCTTTTTTGCAACATTTATCATACAAGTATATCATACACGGTTGCAACATTTATGAGAAATTATATCATGTTAAAATTTCATTCATTTCTTTTTTGCTGAAACCTTTATACTTTTTTCTCTCAAAGACTTTTATTAGGTAAAAAATTCAAGAAAATGTACCAGAAGCTAGAAAACATGAAGGTGGGGACAAGCGCTTTAAATGGTTAATTGACAAAAGAAAAGGGAGATTTTAAATGGTTTCAGATGGTTCCACGAATCAAAGTCACAGTTGCATAAATTTTGGAAAAGATAAATATAATTAGAAATAATTCAACGATAAGAAAACGTAAATAAAAGAACAAAAAAGATGGACCCGACAACTGTTTTGTATTGAGGCTTCATTTTTAGTGCAACTTCAACATCATATTTGCCTCTGTCCCTCATATTTATATTAATTATAATACCAACTTACATGTATATATTTTGGATATTTACATGTCTATATAAATTAGCGATTATAGATTATGCATCTGTGGTATTAAAATTTTCCTCAATATAGAACATTAATGTTTTAAAACATTGATGTGTCTATGTAGTACCCACACACGACAAATAAATGTGACGTGAAGGCAGATTGTTAGGTTCAGTTCACTTCAATTTATCTACGTCTATTGATTTGACTATATATTATTCTCTCCGTTTTATAATAAGTGTCATTTTAAGAAAATGTATCTGTATTGTAATTTAATGTATCTGGATGTGTTTTGAGTTTAATACATTCATATATATTGCATATACATTTTCTCCAAATAACATTTATTATGAAACAGAGAGAGTACTATCTTTTAAAAAAAACTGATTTCAAATGATAATACAATAACAACATAGTTGTTAATTAAAAAAACAATTAGATTCTATTTTGTATCACACACAACTTGATTTTATTTATTTATTTAGTGAAACAATAATAGTAAGGAGCTACTAGAGAGAGAAAGAAAGAGAGTGGTAGTCAAGTCATATGGGGACCTGAATAAAATGTCTGAAAGTGCCAAAGCAGCACTGACCCACACTCTCTCCATCTTCTCTTCCTCCAACATTTCACACATTTCCCGTATTTACACTTTCTTGTAGCTATATGTGCATTTACTTGAAGTATACAAGACGAACTCAGCCAATGGCTGAGACTATTAAGCTCCGAAAGTAATTAGATGAGTGAAGAGGGAAAGAAAAAAAGAAGGTTGAGGGTGTATTAGTGGGTAACAGAGTGAGAAAATGCAGAGTAAATTACTTAATTTCACTTCAAATCAAAAATCAAAATAATAGAGTAAAGGGAAAAAAACCATTTGATAACAAAAACAAAAACAAAATCTCTTTATCAGTAGGTTTAGAAGAAAAAAAATCACTTTTTAGCATACCCTAAATAAAAGGAAAAACTAACTGAATTCAATTGTTCAATAGTAGTTAATAGTTAATATTCGTTTTGTTTCATAATATAAGTAGTTTTGAAGATTTTTTGTTTGCTTTATAATGTTCGTTGTTTTCAAAGTTTTATTTTAAATAAAGAAAAATAATTTTAAAAATTAAAAATAAAGATAAATATGATTTTATTTTTACTTTAACTAAATTCTTTTGACAAAATAATGATTAATTTGTTTAGAAAAGGTAAAATGCAAAAAGAATTAATGTATATATTTTTAATCCAAAATAACTAATATTATAAAGTAAAGAAAATAATAAATATTTATTTGTCATAATTATAAGTATTTATCTCATGTTGATCAATTTAAACGTTAAATCAAACGAAAAAGTAGAAATTTAAACTGGTAAACTTTCTTCTTTTAAGTCTGTATATGCATTTAAATTAGAAAATGCTAATTAAAGTTATTTTGTGTAATTTTATCTTATGTTTGTTTGTCAAAATTTGTAGTTTTTACTTCTTATTTAAATAATTGCCATTGTTTTTCATAGTCAAGTGACCGATAGAACAAAGAAAGAAGAAATATTACAGCCTCCATATTTTGATTAAATTGAAATTTATTATAACGGTAGAAAATGACGTGAATGGCTATAAGTTAGGAGTGTCATTTAATTTCTTATCTAGTTAATCTTTTAGATGTTAGATTTTGGATCAGAATCCTAATTAAATGTCAACATGTTTTGTTATTACTATTACTAAGTGTTTCAAAGGATCAAAGAGAAGGCTTTACTCTTAAAAGTAAGTACCTAAGCATCTTTAACTTTAAACATGTCTCCTAATTCAAAGGAAAACTACAAAACTTCTCTTGTTTTCCTGTCAGACGTTTTTATTTTGAGTCTTTTGGCAGTAAACTAAAAACTAATGATTTGCAAGTATGGATCAAAGACAACACATAATTATATTATTTTTAGAATAACTAGATATTTATTACTATTTACTGTATAGTAGTATTACTTTTAACATAATATTTTTATCTATTTGTTTATTTTCAAAAATGAATTCGTAAAAACTAAATTTTATTCCGATATTTTGTTGTCGTCTTTTAACATCAACAATACAAACTAGTTTTCAAACTAAAATCATCATTTTTTAGTAATAATAGTAATAATCATCATTTTTCCTTTGTGAAATGGTACGAACTAGGAACACACGCTCCAGTACTCCACTAGTGATGGTCATGTATAGTCTGACTCGGACCACGTGGATTTGATTTTTATAATAAGTGAAACAATTCTATATTTATATTTTTATTTTTGTTAAAGTGCTACATTTTACATTATGAAAAAGTATATTTTATTATCCGTGTTTGGTACACACTTTTTTGGCAATTCAGTTGGACTATACGCTTGTACATCACGTATTTAAAAATTACTAAATAATTGAAAATTAAATTTGAACTGTATTGTACATGAAGAATAGTTTTCTAGACATATAAAATTAAACTATCATAGCTATAGTAATAGCAATATCTGAGTTACAAATGAGTCAATGACAAAACCATTTCAAATTCTCTGAAATATTTCCCCATGTTTATATGTTTTTCTTATATATACAATAATAATTATAACTCAAATATTTTTGCTTGATCGAGAAGTACAAAGACAGCTAATACAATAACTGAACCAGAGAATCTCATGTCTCTCCTTCTAGTAGGCAAACTAACGTGGCCTTACTTTTTTCCTTGTTGGAAACTATATTATTTTTATTTTCTTAAATATTCCTATTTCATGTCTTTAAATTTCCTTTTTAAATCACCGAATATGTTAAACAAATAATCGAGACAACAACAAAAAAAAAATTGAAAAAAACTTGAGGGAAGAAAAAATACAACTGGTTGGTGTTGGAAAGCTTCGATCTGTGTTTTTTTTGCTTGTTTAATAAACTAATCCATTGTATGTCTTTTTTTTATCATCTGATTATTATTAAAAACCAAAGTTGAAATACAAGATGGAATACAGGGTGAGATACAGGGTGAGATATACGAAAGCCCGCGGAAAAACAATAAATCCCCAGAAACAAAGCTCAAACAAGAGAAACCAGAAGATATTTAATACTAAAGAGAGATACAAAAAGATGAACCAATGGTACAAAAACTGAGACTAATGAAAGAAGCTTCAAATACAAACTTTTCTAGACGAATTCGAAAGTTGAGCTAGTAACTAAGCCAAGACATTTGAGCAGAACCAAGATAAAAAAGAACTACTCCAAGCACAAAGCAGTATCAACACCAGCAAAAAAGAGCTTAAAATCAATCCATCAGCAACATCAGAAACTACTACAAACACCACAACTTCTGAATAATCCATTATATGTATTGAACTAAATATTTTCATTTACTGCCACTGTTATGATTGATGAGCTAAAGTCAGCTCTCCTACAGTTCTTTATATCCTTATACATGGACCATTTACTCAATGCAACCTCGAATGTTTTGATTCTAAAGAGGCTGATGAGCTTAAGGACTTCAAGCCGATTTCTTTTCTGAACATGGTTTATAAGGTGATCTCTCATTTTCTATATGACATACTCAAGCGGCTTCTTCTATCTATCATTCTTCTGAACCAAACCGCTTTTTCTTAAGGATAAACGTCATTCCAAGACTCACTCTAAAGGTGGACGTTTGAAAGGTTTTTGACTCTATTA